ACCTTAGGTTTGCACAATAAAATCATTCTCCATAGCTATGATCAGTAAAGCTAGTTATGAGAAACAATTACGGAGTAATTAATTAATTCCCTCGTACAGGGCTATAGGTGAGGTAAAGTTTTCTTTGCCGCCATGCCAAGACCAATGCAACTGCTACAATGCACTGATCTCGCTGTCGTTGCTTCCGTGATGAGACTGATCTTGCCGCCATTGCTGGAATACCACGAAGGCACCGCCGGCTATGGGGTTTTGGTGGTGGTTGTTGTGGGGTGGAGATGGAGATGGTTGTTTGGGGGTGAGAAGGTGGCGGTGGCGGTGGCATCACAGGTTGTGGTGGTGGTTCATTCGATTGAATATATTGTATGTGGTAGTTGTGGGGTTGGGATTGCAGTGGTGTCGTTGGGGATTCGTTTGCTGGAATACATTGGTGAAGCTGCTCTGCCTTCCACCGACACTCGTAATTCTTCCACCAATTGGAGCTCTAATCCGGCGCTGGCTACACATCATTCACGGTACATGCCCTCTCCACCGAACAAAAACTCTGACGGACGTATGCAACCACACGTGGCCTTCCACCAACAACCCACGTGTCCAGCATCTCATCTCCACCTTCCCTGCCGGTCACTGCTCCTCCTTCTCCGAATCCTTCCCCATCCTCAATCACCACTATCGTCCGTCACACCCAAAACAAATGGAATATGATTAATATAATTGTAAATTTGGAAAGTATTTAAGGATATTTTAGTCTTTTATCTAATTCTTTAGGGTTAAAGAGTTCTTTTGACAAAGTCAAAGGGTATTTAAGTCATTTTACATGGTATCAGAGCTCTGACACCATGTGCAGGAAACAGTTGGGGTGTGAATGAAAGACGGAACAAACGTTTGTAACGTGATTGATAGTAATTTTCGATGTGAGATTTGTCCAAACCTCAAGGGGTGCCACTGAAATTAACCCTAAAAAATAAAAAATAAAAACTATCCCATTTGCTTACCCCTTGATTTATGCCTGATTATAAATAAATCAATGAACATTTGAAGCAAGTAATCTGATAAAGCAAATAAGCATTCAAACGTGTGTCAGTGAACATGTATGAGTTCTCTATGATGTCTCCATTGATTCCACCCTTTTTGTCACAAAATTGACAAAAATAAATAAATAAACAAAGAGAAATATAATTGAAGAACACAATATAATAAACTTTATAATTCACTAGGAACATTAATCAATGCCGATAAAAAGAAAAATACTCCAACTAAGTCCTATTGACGTATACAAAATTGTTGGAGGAATGTGTTTAAGACATTAATTACATCTAAAACCATAATAAGAAGTAGAAAACTAATAGGTAGATCCACATAGAAAATAAAAACATAATAAGAATATTATGCATCCCCACGAGCACCACCACTTCCTCCAACACCACTTTGAGAACTTCGAATTAAGTCCTCAATTGTGGTTATGCGAGTCTCCATATGATCTAGGTGACTCAATAGTGGTTATGCGAGTCTCCATATTATCTAGGCGATTATGCACATGCTCGAGATGACTCGTTGTTGATCGGCATGGTGCAAGTAAAGGCCTTGTAGAGGTTGCTCCAGATTATGCAAGTCTTCATGTGTAATATAGGGAGCGTTTGGAAGTGCCACTTGTGGTTTCTGAGCTTCCTCTTCTTCTTCATCATTGCCATCACCTTGAGCTTCCTCCTCTTCTTCATTGCTAGAGTTGTATATCATTTGCTTATGACACAATGCTGAAGTGAGAAGAATGACAACCCATTGTAAGGATGTCTTTCCTAAAATACCTTTTCCCTTTGCCATCTTTTTTTGAAAGTCAAAAGTGACTCCAAAAGTGGTCTCGTAAATGCAACAAATGAGTTGGGGAAACAGTAAGGCTTTTCTCTTGCTATTGTTTGATCTGGTGAGGATCATATGTCTAGCAATTAATACGGGGAGGTCAATCCCACTATTCACACTCATACAGTGTTATTAAAGGCTCAAGGCACACTAAGGCACTAGAGGTCCTTTGGAGCCTAGGTCCACAGCGAGGCGCGCACCTGAATGAAGTGAGGCGCACAATTGAAACTTTAAAGAACAGAGAGAGAAGAGAACTAGATAAAGAGAGAGAAGTAAACAAAGATGACAAGAGAGGAGTAGTGGAGAAGAGAGAGAAGAAGAAGAAAGAACTGACATGGCTTCGTCGTTCGCCTCTGCAACTAGGGCTTAGTCGTTGGTCTCACAGTTTCACTCTTTCTATGTTCGGTTGACACTTTAACTCTTGAGCTTTCTTATTTGTTTATTCTTTTGAACAAAAGTTCCTTCTCTCATATGCTTAGGCTTTCTTATTTAGTTATTAAGTTGGCAAAAGTACCCTTTTTGGCTTAAGAAATAGAATAATCATTTAAAAAAAAAACAGTGAGGCGTGCCTAGATAGGATGAGGCGCAACCAAGGCGCACGCCTAGTAAACATCAGTGCTCCCGGGATGACAACAGACGCTAGACCTGCACCTTAAGCCTAGGCGCGCCTTTAACAACACTTCACTCATGTAGTAGAAAAATTCTACATGTTGGTGTGACAACTCCACGTGGTCCTAGGCTCGAGATTGGATTCCAAGATCTTGTTAAAACTTAAAATTGAGGCTTGAGGTTCGTTTCCATGAATCATGCTAGATCAAGAATTTGTGATGCACATTTGATTTTGTTGAGGTTAGATATAGGAACACAATATTCTTTTTTGAATGGTAGAACCAATATGTGGCAACTTTGTGGGCGGGTGTGTGTGGGTGGGTGCGAGGCACCAACAGGCTACCATGCTGGCAGGCTACGGGTGCACAATGACATTGCCTGGGTGTGGAAAGGGAAAGTGCTATATGTGTAAGATTGGTACACTCCAAATGGCACGTGGCCTTTTGGGAGAAAACCCAAGAACAAAACCGTGTGGGCTCGGGTCCAAAGCGGACAATATTATACCATGTGCTGGAGTGGGTCATTACACAATCCACCTTCCAGATGAGGTGCACCAGTCATAGTCTCAATATTCGAAGAAGTGATCTTGAAAACAAAACACGGTTGTATGACGATTTGAATGTGTTGTTGACAAGGTCGAACTACACTTGAACCGGTGTGATGAACGGAAGACCACTACTCGTTATAGGGAACGACCTTTGCCTAGACCTTCTGATGGTATCAACTCCATATGGCTTGAAATCTTCTAGTTTGACATTACTTTCAAGAATGAGAGAACGCCCTTTGAAGATGGTGTTGTATCTCTCCTTTTTTCTATGTGGATAAAGATGGTGTTGTATCTCTCATGTGTATGGTTTTTAAGAAGATGGTCTTTGTCCATCATGGACGCATATATTGGCCTTTCTTTTGTAGGACAATTCAGAGATTTCTCCTTCCTTGGGCGTTTGGAAGCACTACAGGAAGTACTTGGACATGCCATAAGAACTAGAATTGGTAAGTTCCACATAAAGAAAGCCATTGTTGTGTGAAGAAGTTGGGCGGGTGCGAGGCACCAACAGGCTACCACGCTGTCAAGCTATGGTGCACAATGACATCGCCTGGGTGTGGAAAGGGGAAGTGCTATATGTGTAAAATTAGTACACTCCAAATGGCATGAGGCTTATTGGGATAAAACCCAAGAACAAAACCGTGCGGGCTCGGGTCCAAAGTGGACAATATCATACCATGTGTTGGAGTGGGTCATTACACAATCCACCTTCCAGATGAGGTGTTCCAGTCATAGTCTCAATATTCGAAGAAGTGATCTTGAAAACAAAACACGGTTGTATGACGATTTGAATGTGTTGTTGACAAGGTCGAACTACACTTGAACTGGTGTGATGAACGGAAGACCGCTACTTGTTATAGGGAACGACCTTTGCCTAGACCTTATCATGGTATCAACTCCATATGGCTTGAAATCTTCTAGTTTGACATTACTATCAAGAATGAGAGAACGCCCTTTGAAGATTGGTTTGTATCTCTCCTTTTTTCTATGTGGATAAGTAAGATGGTGTTGTATCTCTCATGTTTATGGTTTTTAAGAAGATGGTATTTGTCCATCATGGATGCATATTTAGGCCTTTCTTTTGTAGGACGATTTGGAGATTTCTTCTTCCTTGGGCGTTTGGAAGCACTACGGAAGTACTTGGACATGCCATAAGAACTAGAATTGGTAAGCTCCACATGAAGAAAGCCATTGTTGTGTGAAGAAGTTGAAGAGAGTGGCTTAGAAGTTTAGAGAGAGAAAACAAGAGGGCTGGAGAGCGAAAGCACTTGGAGGGCAAGGAAGGGTATGAAGTTGGGTGTGAGTGGAAAGTTGGGATTTGTTGGAGAATATTATTATAGGAACCCTGAATTAAATTACTCCTTGACAGAATGTTGCTATGAGATTTGTTACCATATTTTTATTTTACTTTCTCTTGAATTCCTTTAATATAAATACTTGTAAATCAAGAATACTTGTAGAGCAAGTATTTTCTATTCTCTAGCTATAAGTCTTTCTCATTTCACGGTTTTCACCTATGAATAGAGGTGATCATTGTATAAAAAAATCAAGAGAGCATAATAAAAATATGTAGCCCTTTGGGCTTTGTATGCCGTGGATGTAAGCCCTATTGTCTGAACCATGTATATCCTTGTGTTCATTTTCTATTTCTCTTCAATTTTGACAGGATTCAACCCCATTAATAGATGTTTATGGTCCTAATCCTACACTAAATAGGAGTGAATAGGGTTTGGTAGGGGTTAGAAGGTGAAAAGATAACGAGTCGTGTTTTGTCATTTCAACTTTTTAACTTGCTCGATCGATTGACCGTTCAATTGACGTATACTGGGCAAGCCTTGATCGATCGATATCTACTGTTGTTGAATCAACGTTCCGATCGACTAGCATAAATGCACCGCATGAAGTCCTGTTAGATATTACCTTCGTATTTTTTTTCTTTTTTGTTTCTTCTTCTCTACCTTAACGAGTTTTTGATGTAACTTGCAAATAGGTTCACCGTGTACTTCTGGATATAGTTTCAGCGGCTGCAAATGCTACACCTGGACTTGGTCGATATCCTCCTTTTAAGAGAGAGGTAGCTATTCCTTGCAGCTATACATTCTTCTATGGGTTGACATATACATTTTTTGTGAATTTGTAATTGGGTTTTTTGTTTTTGTATTTGGGGGCGCTCCTCTTGGAGCGTGTTTTTAATGATACCTTACCTATCATTTCTTTTTTCATGCTTTGCTCATACTTGATATTTGTATAAAATAACTAGGTTGTGGCAATTGCAACTGATGCACTGGATGGTTTTAAGAATGAAGCTAAGAAAATGGTGGTTGCCCTTGTTGATATGGAGCGTGCATTTGTTCCCCCACAACATTTCATCCGTTTGGTGCAGAGGCGGTATGCATAATTTTTGGACATTGACCAATGATAGTTTTGCTGATGTTGTCTGTTTATTGTACCAGTCAGTAACAAAACAGAGAGCACTCTGTGAACTGCTAAACACATACATAATCTGTTACTGTATTTTTTTATTTCTGGAGATGGTTGTTCTTTCTTTCATTCCATTTCAATCATATTGACTATGCTTTAACTGGATGATTCGTAATTACAAAATTGCCTCATTTAAAAGTTTATTTTAAGAAATGAGTGTCAGCTCTGTAGAGCTAATTTTTTTAAGTTTTTATTAATATTCTTTTAAATTTTATTTTTTGATTGCTTTGTATAATTTCAAAGGATATTTTGATGAACTGTTACGAGGCAACATATTATTTAACGGAAAAATAAAATCTTCCTGGAATTGAAATTGTTGAGGGGGAAAAAAAACTCACAAAGATGACAAAATTTGAGGTGGAGGAAGCATTTGCATATAAGTTATTGATAATCGCTATTAACATTTAAAGGTTTTCTTTTCTTTGAAAATGTTGTGAGTAAACTTGTTTGCATAGATTGGCTTTTGAATCTCGTCGTCCCTAGATGATTTGCCAGGAAGCATGTAAATTTCCCCAAGGAGGCTGGTGAGGTGGCTGACATGTAACACACAAATATCAGCTATGGCAGTATATTTATCGCACATGCTTAGCCAATTCCTGCGTCTGAATAGAATTCCTTAATTCTAAACATACATCAAACATATAATTTGTATGTGTGACACTTTCGGATGCATTTTCTGTATTTGTTCAGTTTTTATTTATTAGTATTATTATTTTTTAATCTCTGGATAAAGGAAAGATTGTTTAAAATATGAAGCCAAGAGACGAGTGGGAGGAGTATAAAAAGTAGGAAATGTTATACCCTTATTTATTGTCAATTTTTTTTTGCTTTATATTCATTTTCTATGCAATAACACCATTTCTTTTTTATATTTTATATTTTATTTTATTTTATATAGGTTACTTTTTTACGGCCGAAATGGAATTTATTATGTCGAAATTCCATCTATGTCGTGTTGTACCATTGCCCGTGTTCATGCTTTGGAGTTAGTTTTGGTCCATAATAGATCAAAAATGACTCTTGTAGTGATTCACCGATTCCTGGAACATTTAAATCAACCGTTGTGCAATCAAAACTAGGGAAGTCATCTTTTGATTTGACCGCAGTCTTGCACTGTTAAGTGGCTTCTTATATTTTTCCTAATGGGGTTATATTATACAAAAATAAACATGATGTACATTGCAAGAGAGTTGGGGCATATCCTCACTTTACTGTAAGAAACAAGTCAGATTCTAGAAGAAGAAAGACAGACAACAAAAAAGGAAAAAAAAGAAAGAAAAAAAATGGAGCTTAGTTCATATCATCAAAACGTCCTACATTTTGACTTCCAAAATGTCAAGCACTTCCCATCATATATTCCTTGCAATATCATCAATAGTCCTGTTCTGAATGAACTTGTCATGCATAATCAAACAGGCAGTAAGAGCTACTCTAGGCCTCACCTTTATCCAGCACAGATCAAACCAATTTGCAAGTGTTAATCCCTTCTTGGGGGCCCTTGTATCTGTATCTTTCTGTTCTATTATAGCTATGTATCATTGTATAGCTCTGAAGGTTCCTTTTTGAGGTTTAATTATTTGTTTGGTTTGCTTTGGTGTTTGTCTGATGCTTCCATATCTAATTGTCTTGTGGATTGAACTCTGTTGTTTGACAACTGATTTGCGATATGGTTCTTTGTGATGCATGATCAGTTGTTTAATTTTTGACAGGATGGATAGACAGCGACGTGAAGAAGAGCAAAAAAACCGATCTTCTAAAAGGCCACTTGAGGCAGACCAATCCTCACTATATAGGGTATGGGTGCTTTTTTCTCTATGTAGGACTGTTAATTGCTTATTTTCTGTAAATTATTGTTTGATTAGTTCATGACTGCCACATTCTATGCTTTTCTTAATTTCTTCTGTCTTCCATTTAGGCAACAAGTCCTCAAACAGGAGGCCAACAATCTGGGGGAAGCTTGAAATCCATGAAGGATAAATCCAGCCATCAAGATAAGGATGTACAAGAGGGATCAGCCTTGAAGACAGCAGGACCTGATGGGGAAATAACAGCAGGTTCATGGATAAACATTTCCTCGTCTTTATTACCAGTCTAACTAATGATGGTTTTATTTTCTTCCCGGATTTGTATATTTTATTCACATAGAATACAATGAGTACAATAGATTCTGAGGAGGACCCTCACAAAGAAGCTCAAAAGCTGAGAAAATAGAGGGGGGAAAAAAAAAAAAGAAGCCCATAAAAGCACAGAAAAGTGATTGACTAGAAAGCCAAGTCTCAACTAAGCAAGGTCTGTAGATCAGACAAAGAAACATTAAATAGACTCAAAATCTCCAATCAGACTGAAGTAGCTATTTCCTCAGCATTCATGGTTGTATCTTCATGCAATCTTCTATTCCTTTCACTCCAAACACTCCACATAGTTGTAACAAAAAAGTCTCTCACCAAATTTTTGACTACACTAGATGGAGGAGTAGTTCTGAAACCATTGGATAACCTGCTGGAAAGAGGCTAACTGAAGCAAGCATTGACAATACCATTCCCATATAGACTGAGCAAATGGGCAGTTCCAAAACAAATGCGAAACTGAATCTTCATCCCCTCTGACAGAATGCAGCAAGAGAAATGCCTCTCTTCTTCAAATTAACACCAGTAGACAAGGCATCATGCATGAATCATGATCAAAACCGAAGTTGAAGATGATACCAAGAAACTGTATTACTCTGAATCCTGCAAATATTCCATGCATTGCTAAAATTTAACCTGCCGTGCTTCCACTTGATGCTATCCTCTTCTCCTGAGTAACTACAGTTCCTGAAAATCTCAGAAACAGCAACAGGCCATGATGATGGAAAGGACCATTGATTGCCATTCCATAGAAGATAGAACAGTTACTGTGGAATTTCTCTAAAAATCATGAGTCTTCTAAAAATCTACAAAGTAAATCAAAAGTGTTATTTAGTATCCACATTACAGCTACTGAGTCTTCTGCTATGCAATCATGCATAGGCCAATTTTGAACAAACTATCTAATGGCCTCACATCTATTGGCTACCCATATCAGGTAGTTTGATTTCTTGTTTCTTCCCTACCTTAATATTGGTTATTTCGGAAAATTTGGGCCTCTATTGCCTTTCAAAAAGAGATTTGATTTCTAATCATTCTTTCCTTTCTGCTTTAAAAAACATTGAATTAACTTGGTAACATGGTGGTGCTTTAAAAAATATTCTTTGACCGTATAATATTTACCTGCCATTGTTTTTTGGTTGTATCTGCAGGATTCTTATTGAAAAAAAGTGCAAAAACTAGTGGTTGGAGTAGACGATGGTTTGTTTTAAATGAGAAAACTGGAAAGGTTAGTACTTATTAGTACAGCCTTTCGGCTAACCTAAAGTGAGAAAACAGAAGCTTAGAGCTTTTTAGTATATCCCATGTCAACTTGTTTAAGTGCTATGTACGATGCTGTGCATATCTTTTTATATTTGTAAAATTTTTCCTTTACTGATAGGTTGTTTCTTTCTTTCATTTTTTTTTTTTTTTAAAAAATATTTTTTTAATCTCGTCTCATCTATATATTGGGATTATCCACTTAAAAGTTAAAACATCATTGCAAACTTCTTCATTAGTGTAATGTGGATACTAAAAATCTACAAAGTAAATCATGGTATCAACATTTTATATTAGATACTAACTCTTGTTTAATCCTGGTACTTTGCTTAAAATAAGGAAATGATAGAATCATTCTTATTTCATCAGTATAATCCATTTCTCTAAGCATCTGGGCAAATTGGCATCTTTTATATAGCTATTGCTATCATTTTAGCCATGTTTATAGATGCAACAAGTCTTGATTGGAATCCTCATTTTATATTTGCCAGCTTGGTTACACCAAGAAACAAGAGGAACGGCATTTCCATGGTGTCATCACCTTGGAGGTACGAATTCAATTGGCAGTCAATATTTTGAGTTCTAGACAAGCATTTAATTGTATATTTCTTGTGTTTGACAGTGTGTTCAATGATGTTCTTGTGGCCTTTTTTGAATAATATATCTCTGACAAAGTATTTCAAACAAATCTATAAATGTGCATCATATTTGGAACTTTGTTAATGAAGTTTGAACTTCGAATTGGATGCACTATGCCTCTCTTGCTAATTCGGTATTGGTAACCTTTGTGGAAACATTTAAGCAATTTATAAATGTGAAAGGAAGATTTAGGTTGTAATCTTTTGTGTATTGGAATTAAGAGCATATTTTCACTTTTTTATAAATTGAATAAATGGAAAATTTTATTTAATTATGTATGAAAAAAGGAACAAGTATAACTAGGAATAAAGAAAATGGAGCAACTTCTTTGGGCTTACCGATGCGCATAGTTTCAATCTAAATGTGTTGGGGAATTCTTTTTGTATCCCTCTATAGTGTTGTGAAATGCCTTGCATTATATAACCACAGGATACATTATATCACTTTCAGTAATTGTGGGCCTTGTGGTCTTAGCAATAACTTTTGGCTGGGGTCTCAAAATGTAACTGGGATCCTTTTTTGACCTTCTTTCATATGTAATCCCTTAGCTGTTTGACTGGCTGGTTGCATGACATAGGGTTTTGTGTTGAGTTGAGAGGTGAAGCAAGATTTTTTGTCATAGGTTTTGTCATAGGTTTGTCATAATTCATTGGAAGAGGGTGAAGACTTATAATGAATAAACTTTGAAAAAATGGATAATGTGAAAAATCCGATGAAGTTGCATACTACATAAGAGTAATTGTGTGGGTTACAGATTCAGGAGAAGACTGGCTTGTTTGAGTATCTATTTACATTCGTTATGTTAGTCTATTTGTTGCTGAACTTTGGAGTGAAAATTGATGAAAAGACAAGGGTATAGTCGTCATAACTTCTCTGCCCCTTCCCATGACTATCTGGTTATGACATTATTGTTTAGGAATGAGAGTTACAACTAGATGAGGTGATTGCAGTTCTCTTGATTAATGAGAAAAGGAAGAAGCTGATTGTTGATAACATGTGGAATATTAAAGAATATATATATTTTTATACAAATATAATAGACATATGACGAGGTCGTTCACAGTGTTATGGCCTGTGGTTTGTGGGTTCATAATTGGTGGGGAGAGGAGAGGAGAGATGAGGAAGAGTATGAACAATCTGCCACAGCCTCCTTTTCGATCATCGCAGTCCATCCATGACGTTTTATTGCTGTAACTGTTACCTAAAGATCTTGGGCCGTTAGTGGTCAAACCTCACAAAGTTCTTATCTGGAGTGAAAGTATAGATAAAGAAGTATTTAAATCCACAGGCAGCAATTTGTTGGATTTAAAAAACTTCAGTTCGCAGATTGGTAACAAATTAGCTCTCAGATTATAGATTCATGCACCAAATGTGAGTTCGTCTTCTCTCATTGATGGATTGAGGGACTCTGCCTCACTGCATTTTTACACATGTATGAGAAATTATGTTCATTGCAACATTATTATTATTTTTATTTTTGTATGAGTTTTGTTTGGGTAGTCTGTCCTAAGTCATTTACATCAGAAGACCGAAACTATCCCATTTAGATTCTAGGCTGCATTTACTTTGTTAAAATCTTAACATTTCTTTTGATTAATGTTTTTCCAAAAATTTATTATTGTTATTGTTATTATTCTTTTTATTTTTATTTTTTATTACTATATATATATATATATATTTTGGCTGAGTTTCATTTTCTACAAAATTTGATGGTTTATGTAAAAGATACACCACTTGCTCTGTTACATGGACTCTTCAAAAGTAGTGAAGTACCCGTGTCGTACATATATCCCTCGGACATGGGTATTGGATATGTGTCCAACACTTTTGTTTAGACGTGTACTTAAAAAACATATCCAATCATTCAATTACATTATATTATTACTTTAAAAAGAGGTAAATATCTATATTGAATATTAAATTAGATAAAAACATTACTTTACTCTAGAAAATAAAATAAAATAATTAATAAAATGAATATTTAGCCGTGTCCGTGTGTCCTTTTGTTTGGAGATTTGACACGTCCGACACATGGATACATACCCGTGTCCGACACCCGTATCCCATTTTATACAAAATTTGATGGTTTATGTAAAAGATACACCACTTGTACATGTATGTGTATATGTGCATTAATTACATAGGAAATGAAATAAACAAATAAGTAAATTGATGTGTGTGAATTAGGACGTTGAAGTGGATAACTACCAATGCCAGAATAGGTAGCTAGATTGAAGAACAACATAATGAGGTTTTAGTTATAAGATGACGAAAGAATTTTCATGTTTTCTTTAGGTAATTAATTAATTCACCAGTTAGGTGCTCTTCCCTGTGAAACTGTTTTAGACAAGATTGTAGTTCTTGGACGAGGCTAAGAGAGTAAATTTGCAATTGTCTTCTGTCATCCAACTTTTTAGTATGAGTTTTGAAATTAGTGCTCGTAGTGAAGTAGTTTATATTTCTTTCTCGATGAGGAATCTCTCTTGTAATCTTTGAATGAATTGTTCAGGAATGTAATATTGAAGAAACCTCTGATGAAGAAGAACCCCCTTCAAAAACTTCCAAGGATAAAAAGGGAAATGGACCAGATTCTGGGAAAACACCAAATCTTGTTTTCAAGATAACAAGCAGGGTTCCATATAAGACTGTTTTAAAAGGTATATATTCATCTATAAGTTGCAGTAATATGTTGCTTGTGAATTGTTTTTGACTCCCTTTCTCCTGTTAACTGTAAAATTTTCGTTGTTCTCACAGCTCACAGTGCAGTTGTGTTAAAGGCTGAAAGTATGGCTGATAAGGTCGAGTGGTTGAACAAGTTAAGAAATTTGATTCAGTCTAAAGGAGGTCAAGTGAAGGGTGAATCTAGTCTTCCCATGCGACAAAGTCTTTCTGATGGTTCTCTTGTGAGTCATAATTTGATGCTTCTTGTTTGTATTTTCCAAATTTATAGCACAACTAGACTCTGTCATTCTCTTTTTGTTTAAAGTTGCATTAGGTTTTCATGCCCTCTAATTCTTCTCTCTTTCAAAGTGGCATTATCAATGTGAGTATGAATTTCTATAGGAAGCAATGAGGGGTCTCTCTTGTTTCCTTTCCAAACATTACTATCAAAGGTTGATATTCAAGTTTTAACAGTGTCAAACGTGAATTCTTGCATTCATTTTTTTTCCCCAGCTGTATGCAGTCTTTTCCTATAATTTTTTTTTTTTCCTATACTTTTATATTGCTTTAAATATGCTTTCATTTACTTGCACAACTTAGGATACAATGGCCAGAAGACCTGCAGATCCGGAAGAAGAACTTCGATGGATGGCTCAGGAAGTACGTGGTTATGTTGAAGCTGTTCTAAACAGCCTTGCTGCCAATGTCCCAAAAGTTAGTTTTTTATTTTCTCAATGCAGCAGTTACTCCTATATTCTTTTGGCCTTTTAATATTCCTTATGGTTGTTCTGGTTGTGTAGGCGGTTATTCTTTGTCAAGTCGAGAAAGCAAAGGAAGACATGCTGAATAAGTTGTACAGTTCTGTCAGGTTAGCTGTGTCTCTTTTTGTCCTTAGGATGTTGGATGCACATTGTTTTGCTTACTCATAGGTAGGTTTTTCTGGTTTAATTTGCAGCATTCCTGATGTTTGCTTCTGTTTTCAGAGTTTTAATACAAATATAGTCTCTAAGCAGAGGATTCACTATTTACACTTTCTTTTTTCTATAAAAGAAAAATCATATGGTAAGATGTAAAGAAAAGCTTTTCATAAACTGTAAAGGAAAGGTTTTTGTGGGTGTTAGGTATATGAGTCATATGGTCGCATATTCCTGCTCAAAACTAGAGTTGTAATGTGTCAAAGTGTCTTGAGTTGTTTGAGGACATCTGTAGAAGACAAGGCAGACAAAGAAGTGCAAAGAACACGACATGAATCTTGCATTAGAAATCACATAGATAGGGCAAAGGTAAATTGACCTTAGAAAGACCTAATTTGACCTAGTTTGATCTTGGTTGGGCTCATAAAAATGTTCTAAAAGTGTTTTTGAAAAATGACTGAATGGTTTATCTAGCTTCCAAAAGACTTTGATCGAAATGGTCGATTGATCCTGATGTTCCAGGAAAATTTGTTTTCAAAAGCAGTAAGCATTGATTGATTTGTCGGTCGATCAAAACTTATAGTGTCAATCGAATCATGCACACACACTTTAATGGAAAAACTCTCAAATCAGAATTCTAGAAGGATTTTACTTACCATACTATACATGGTTTTCTAATATTGGCTATAAATATGGGGATATGGTCAGTCTAGGATATCTATCTGATGCCACCTTACCAAGTTACCAAGAGGAGACAATCAAATCGTCTTTAGAGCAATATAGAAACGAAATAAAAGAACAATGCAAGTGAAAGGAGAATTGCAAAGGAATTGTAAAGCAAACCTTATTTGCTGTAAAAAAATAAACTCTTCAACTAATCCTCCAAACCGTATCAGTTACAAGGCTTTATATAGAGTTTCTTCATCCTAAATCTTAACCTTATATTAGCTAACTACCAAATATAAATTAAAACCCAAATAGGAAAGCTACTGAAAATCAGAAAATTACACAAAAAAAGGAAAATTTCAAAATATGGGAAGTTTCTAAAAGAGACAAAGTTAATTGCAGAAAATTAGGTTTCTCTGACTGCATCACTATCACTCACAGGTGCTTTTAATTCCTTACATATTATTGAGAGAATTTAGAGAGAGAAAACTTTGAGAATCAATATAGGGTTCTCCATAGATTGCCATATTATATTTGATTATGATAATCAAAGCAAGGATTTGAATTGAGAATATCTATCTCATCATCAACTGAGTTCTTTGTAAAGAATGAGTTGATTCGACGGCTAGTGGTTGAGACTGAAATCACTAGAGATTTGTGGGAGCTGATGCTGCTAATGAGCAGACAGACGACCTGGAGATTTTTGGAGAAAGGTTTGACGTTCGTCTGTGTCAGGAGGTAACTAGGGAATTCTTGGAACAAGTTTGTTCACTTGGGTTGTACTTTCTTTTCACATATTGGATTTTGGTATGCCTGGACCAAGGGCCAATGTTTTTCTCTGTTTTGGGGTTTTCACGTAAAAATCTTGTGTCTCCGCTTTATTTTATTTGTTGATGCAAAAATCTGCACGATTTGGAGCTGGGGGCCTTTCCTGCAAGAAAAGAGAAGTGACGACTGGCGTGGTGCTAGTCGGGTGCACTCTGACAGTCAATTTAGTACTTGACGATAAGGGGAAGAAGAAAAGACACTTTAGTGGAGAATTATGTCGTACCTTAATGGGTTGACCGACTCCTCATTTTATAGGGAGTATTGGTATTAGTGTCCACCTAGGGAATTGGTTTCCTTGATTTGTTCATCACGAAATAGGAGAGTCAATGTAAAAGTTAGTTGTATTTATCTTGATCACTTGTAGTCTATCCAACCTCTTGTCTCCCCGTATAGTTGTTAAAGGTTCAAGGCGTACCAAGGCGCCAAAGGCCTTTATGAGCCCAAGCTCAAGGCGCAGTATAAGGCGCGAGCCTGATCGAAGTAAGGTGCATGTATATAATAATGCATAGTTAAACAAATATTATTATCTATATTCATAATCAAACAGTAATTGTAAGTAGTGAACCATAATTTTATGAATTTTGTTAAATATTTTATTAGGTTAAACAATACGATATATGATATAAAATCTTTTAATTTTATAGTCATCAAATAAAAAGAAAATGATATGAATAAATGATTAAAAAATACAAGGCGCGACTTTTGTGAGCCTGGAGCCTACTAAAAAGTATGAGCCTGATTGAAGGGGTCTGCCTGTAGTAGGTTGAGGCGCTTTAGCTGAGGCTTGATGAGCCTAGGGCTTTTTTGGAGCCTAGGCGCGCCTTTAACAATTATAGCTCCCCGTGTTGCTTGGACTTCTGAATTGGTCGAATATTTCGTATCAGTTGCTGCTTGTTCCCAAGGGTACTTGTCACATGCAAGGAACGTCAAGTCACTTATGTTCTCCTTTTCCAATATATTATTGTTTGTCTGACCTTTCAATTAGGAAAAGGAGAACATAAGTGACTTGATGTTCCTGCGCGTGACAAGCACCCTTGCGAAGATACGGAAAATTCGATCAATTAGGAAGTCCAAGCAACACCAGAGCCAAGAGGTTGGATAGAATACAAGTGGTCAGGATAAAGACGACTACCTTTCTCATCGACTCTCCTATTTCGTGATGGTCAAGGGAACCAATTCCTTAGGTGGACACTACTACCAATACTCCCTATAAAATGAGGAGTCGGTCAACCCATTAAGGTACGCCACAATTCTCCACTAAAGTGTCTTTTCTTCTTCCCCTTATCATCAAGTACTAACTTGATTGTTGGAGTGCATCCGGTCGGCTCCAAACGGTGCAGATTTTTGCATCAACATTATTTATATGATTGCAATTTAGGCACTTGATTAATGTAAATTTATTTTTTTTTTTAAAAAAAGAAGAAAAATTAACAGCAAAAAGTAAGTAGCAAAATGATATCCATAATTACCTTTTCACCCCCTATAGATCAAAATTACTGCTCGTTATAGCCTTGGGTAACTATCTAGCTCACTTTTAGTGAGCTAATTTTTTCAAACGCTGCTGGGAGTAAATGTTTGGTAGTAAAGGACATAGGTTTTGTTATACACGGTGATTTAATGCAAGAAATGTGTGCAAAATATAAAGAGTGTGATACATAAATGTGACATCATGCAGTATTTTTAAATTTATGTTGTATTTGATATTTGATGTAAAACATTTTTTTTTTCCCCTTTCTACACAGGCATATTCATCCAGACACAATCTTTCTTGAGTTTCTTGTTCATTATGTTTTGTCTTTCTTGTTCAATTATTTTTTTTCTTCTCTTCTTAAATGTTTCAACCTAATTTTTCACATAATGGTTGGTAGTGCCCAAAGTACAGCAAGGATTGAAGAGCTGCTCCAGGAGGACCAGAATGTCAAGCGAAGGAGGGATCGCTATCAGAAACAGTCTTCTCTTCTTTCAACGCTCACCAGACAACTTAGTATTCATGATAATCGAGCGGCTACTGCCTCAAGTTTCTTGAATGGTGGTGGAGCAGGTATGATAGCTGGAAATTTGCATTGCTACTTTTTGCTTTACTTTTCTTGCTTTGTTTTTGCTTCCTCTTGCAAGCACTAGCAGGAGAGTTTGGGGTGTTGGGCTGCGTTTGGGGTGTTGGGCTGTGTTTGGTTTGTTAAGGGAGCAAGGCAGGTGCACTAAAAAAATTGATCTTTCGGAAGCATGTTCATTCCACAAAATTTGTTTTTCAGTCAGTTAGCTCTTTGATAAGCATTATAGAAGAGCCAAAAAAATGTCGTGTGTGTTAGCTCTGTGCAAATCAATCTACTCTCCTCACGGGTGCATCTATAGGTTGGCGTTGAACATGCCCATATCACCTAAGTTTACTCTCTTATTTTATCGCTAATAAGTGCCACACCTAATTTCTCCCTAATCCTTTGATTATTAATGTTATGTTTCCTAGTTTTTCCTAGCATCCATCTTAACATCCACATTTCCGCCACATGGATGCTTTGTTCGTGTTTCTTTTTTAACCCAACATTCTGCTCAATATAAGATAGCTGGTCTAGTGACCTATTAACTTATTTGGTATTCGTTCATCGCATAAAACTCCACTAGCGTTCCTCCACTTTGTCCAACTTACTGCAATTACACTACTTGCATCATCATCAATCTGTGTGTCTTTTTGTACAATTGATCCTAAGAATCGGAAAATTTTACTTTGAGTAATGCTTTGGTCTTGAATTTTGATTGCAACATTATCATTTCCTATAGCACCATTAAATGTATTTACCATGTATTCCGTTTTAGTTGTACTAATTTTTAAGCCTTCTGATTCTAGTGCCGTTCTCCAACCCTCTAATTTTATTGTTACGGCTTCCTTAGCGTTATCTAATAGCATTATGTCACCTGCAAATAACATGCACCATGGAAGGTCTCCTTGCAAGTCTTTCGCTATTTTCATCCGAAATTATTGTAAATAAATATGGTCTTAGCGCCAAACCTTGGTGACCCCCTATGATATGTCTTATATGAAGTATGAACTAGGATATTTAGATGATATAGTATTGTCCTATTGTTTTAGCCACCTACAAAAGCAATTTGTCTTGCTCTTTTGCATATGGTCTGTCCATAATATTTGGTGCATTAGGAATAGCATTGAACTAGGTGAATACAAATGATTTGAGGATAAGAACATAAGAACTAAAATATTATCAATACGTGACCAAGGGTTCATAATGATTTTCACTAACCTTTTACTACCGGACTTTTACTCTTATAGAATATATCTTTTGCAGTCAGTGTTCAGTTTTCAGTGGTGATTACTCTTGCCTAAGTGAACAGGCTATAAAGGATCCTCCGGGGTATTACACAACTAAAGAAGGCACAAGTAGATCGTTTCAAACGTGGTATATAAGTCGAACAGAAGTTAGGATCGTACTGAATGGTTTGACCAACTGTAAGATCAATTGAAATGGCAATTGCAGCTGATTATATATGTTAGTATATCCATTTAAAGAGGCACAACGCCATCCACATCCTTAGGTTGAGTGTATGCTGTGTACCAACATGATAAAATCATACTTGTTCAATTTATATGCAAAAAAATACGACTCTTAAATAAGGGGTTCTATTCTGAAGTGGAAGATATTGTGGACTTCATTTAAAAAACATATCATTTTGTTTCACTACTTGAACACTATTTGTTACTGTTTCAATCTGTCTTCTTCTTCTTTTTTTTTGTTCCTTTTCAAGCGGAATTGCATGATATATTAGTAAATTGTTTCTTTGAATTTAATGTTATATAACCATTGCTTTAAGTATTTTCATAATAAACTTGAAGGACAATGTTGTCGGTTAGACAACCCTTTTCTTTTCTTCTTTTGTGTGTGTGTTGTTTCGGTGGTGGTTGTTAATGAGACTTTGTAAGCTCATTCCACACTACAAATTGGTACACTACCACTGGATTGACCAGAGACTTTTATCTACTATTGCGATATTTGTTCGAAGTTTTCAGATTCCAGGACCCGTCTTCTTCTCACTTCTCTCAGTTTGTAATTTCTTTTTTTTTTTTTATTTTTAAAAATTATCTTGTGTATATTTTTATTTGGGCAGAAAGCAGTCCAAAAACCCCTGGACCCCCATCCGGTGATGACTGGAGATCTGCTTTTGATGCTGCTGCCAATGGTCGAAGTGATTCATCTAGGTTTGGATCCAACGGTCACAGTCGACGAAACAGTGATCCTGCCCAAAATGGTGATGTAAGCTCACGCTCAAACTCGAGCGGCCGCCGCACCCCTAACCGATTGCCGCCAACACCACCACAATCTAGCTCCGTTTATAAATATTAGATTAGATAAATCTCAGGATGGATTAATTCTTGCGTTATTTGGGAATGTGTTTTGCTAGTGTTCCCTGATTGAGCTCCTGTCGAGCTCGTATAGTGTCATAGTCACTCTGTAGAATCGGATTTTGTCTCTCTTTGTAGATAAATATAACTTTAATACTGGTTTTCCCCCTCATGTTGTGGTTACTGGATTTTGAGGTGTACTTGCAATGTGTGCAACTGTCTTTTTTTTATTTTTTTGTGAATATTGCTATATTTGTGCAATCATTCACTGTATGGTACATACATTTCTACAAAAAAAAAAAAAAAAAAAAAAAAAAAAAAAAAAAAAAAAAAATCTAGAAAATATTATTTTCATATCGTCTTTATTGAACTTCAATGAAAAGCCTTGAGTTTGCTCTACTAAGAGAATATTATTGCGGAAGCAGATTCTATTGGACTTGGTTTTGCAGCTTCTGCTGATAAAATTATACGGTTTTTGTTCACGTTATGAGATCCCAATCTGAACTCGTTTCTTCGTCACTCACTATTGTCTACAGCAACTACTTGGTTAGTCTCTCTTTCTTTTTGTCCACTGTTGCAAGTTTGTCTCTCTTGTTCATGCTCAGTTGTGAGTTCGTCTCTTTTACCTTTTATCCATGTGTTTGATTCTTTCCTTCTCATTGTGATTGAAATCCTAGAAATTGGACCAAATCTCGAGGACGGTGTACAGGTAAGAACTAAGTATCATCCTAAATATATATATATATATATATATATATATATATATATATATATATATAATGAATAGCATTAAACAAGGCAGATCCTTCACAAAGGCAGATCCTTGTTGTATATATATATATATAGTAGACATCGAATATCACAAATTAAGGATAAAATCAAACGTTAAACTGTATGGTGAACACCAGAAACAAAGTAGTAACGTGGACCGAAATCCTCTGCGGCGCAAGCCGGTGAGTAAATTAGAAAAGTAAAAATACACGAGGTAAAAAATTAAAAAGGAAAACTTTTGTATATACACACATATATATGGGACTAAATCAAAATCTGGGACTAAATCAAAACCAGACTAATTTCTTGCTTTTTTGTCTCTCTCTACGCAAATATTTCCCTAACCTACAACTTCTTATATATTGCAACATTTATAGAACAGAAAGTATGTTCTAGAACAGATGGTATACTCGCAACTTTTTGTATGTGGTAGATGCAACATACCATCTGTATCTACAACATACCATCTTGTATCCCAACTTTCAGCTTACCAACATCCCACTTATTGTTACATCATAACTTTTCCCTTATTAACATTCTAACTTTTTCCTTACTAACATCACACTATTCATCTCTTTATCTTATTTGGGACGTACGTTAGAAAATTGTTGCGATGCTCGTAAAGAGAAAGTTGGGATGTGCATTAAGAAAATGTTGTGATGTAAGACCAACGTCCAAACATTTTTCTAACATGCATCCCAAACAAGAGAAAGAGATTGTTGGGATGTTGTTAAGGAGAAAGTTGGGATGTTGTTAAGGAGAACGTTGGGATGCATAGTGAATTTTGGTACAAACTGATATATATACATCCATACGTGTTTATGTATATATATGTGTGTGTATGTATATAAGGTTTTGTCATGCTCGGATGAAGTTATCAAATTTCAGAACCGTGAAAATCATCTTCCCACCAATCAATTGCAAAACCATAGTTATCTAGTTATCCAATTTGAGAACCATGGAGATCTTCTTCCCACCAATCAATAGCAAAACCAGAGATATAATACTAACAACAAATGATTCAAACACATATACCCCGAATCAATTGACACAAAACCAGAGATTTTGATAAGATAATGCTAAGAATTTAGGGTTTTGAGAGGGAAGAAAAAAAAAAAAAGCGTCAGTCTGCTGAAATTTGGTATTTTGTATAAAGTACTCTATTTGTAGTATGCAGTAACAAATTTTAATTCATCCCCACTTATGTGATGTGGTGCTATTAGGACTATACATCACTCGTTGGCTAGAACATATGTGTAGGAGAGGATTTTTATCCAACATTTAGAGTAGTCATTTCCTCAACCACTAAAATACCCCCAAACTATACTCTAGCGTAATAAACGCAGGTAAGCATTTGTGTCCACTTCCTTGAAACAGTTGAAAGATATAGGAGGTAAGGAATTACTTCCTGCTGGTGGTTATAGGGAAAGTAAAAATGGATTATATATATATATATATATATATATATATGGAATTGTCTCGAATTGCTCGAGACGCGGTTAATACCAAGGTTTCGTCTTAAAACGTGTGCAAACGTCAAAACCGGAATCCAAAATTTTGATAGGGTCCAACAAAGTTTACTGTAGTGCACACTAAAAAATAAAGATGGACAATGGACTTTTACGCGAAAAAATCTTCAACCAAGAGATCAAAAAACTACAAGACCTAGTCCACGCAAACTAATTCACTAGCAAGAAAGAGATGCACCGTAGGTTACAGTGCAGTACCCTTGAACTGGAGAAAAATTTAATTGTGTCGATTGTTTTTTATAGTTGTAATTGTGCAGGTTATATTAGTAACGTGATATCACTAACTTATTAGATATTGATACATAGTAATAAGACCCACTAAAATAAAGTATTTTTACTTATGTGACATAATTCAATTAGTTAATGACACATGTAACAAAGTATTAAAAGTGCAGAGAAGTCTACCTCCCTGAACCTACGATAGAGATCAAAAACCTGTACTACTGATACTTGAGAAAACCACATGCATACTCATGCATATTTGGATCAAAATAAGTTTAGAAAACATTGAAATTAAGATGCCGTGTGTATGTAATGTATGTACCTACTTTGGTGAGTGTCATAGCGTGAAGATTGTCAATATGGTCGCCCAAATATTTATGGATTCTTTTTAGATCCCCCCTAACCTATGGTTTTTGTTTGGTTAGGTTAACTAACTAGGACGTCCTAATGTTGGTTTCTAAGTCAATTTAAATGATTAACTTAATTTAAAATGAATTATTGATTAAGCTTACAATGATCAGTTGTTGAATAATTAAGTTTTATTAATTGAATCTAAATAAAGATTAAGATATTATTTTAGATGAAATTGAAATGTTGATATTGATTTGTTGTTTGACTAATTAATTAAACATGACGTGGTAAATCTATCTAATATACATTCATACAATGCACATGTAACAAGCACACTATGATCTAAGTAATACACAACCTTCGGTAACTAAACTATCACACTTTAGCTAAACTAGCACACATCAAACATTAACTAAATTAACAACATACTTCAAATCTTAACTAAACGAACTTCCTGCAACAAATATGCATTTTATAAATATTGTCTAACTTAATGACATACACCAAACATGCATAAATATAATCTAAACTAACAAGGATGGGGGATAAGAAAAACTAATACGAAGACGTAACGTGGTTCGGCACTCTAGCCTAAATTCTTACCTTAAGATACATGTTGAGGATTCCTAAATTCACTATAGGGCTTTACCTTGTAGGTTGAGAGCAAAACCTCTACATCTATCGTAGGTGGAGAGTGCATCTTCTCTTTTTCAAGCTAAAAGAGAACCTTCTCCCTCTTAGAGGGTACACCTATCTCTCATATGAAAGTTGAGAGCAAATGTAACGACTCATTCCATCATAAGGTATGATATTGTCCACTTTGGGTCTAAACTCGTATTATTTTGCTCTTGAGTTTAACCCTAAAAAGTCTCGTACCAATTGGAGTGCACAAATCCTACATATATAATACTTCTTCTTTCCGCACCCAGACAATGCGGGATTGTTCACCTATAGTTTACCTAGTGTGGTAACCTGTTAGTGCCTCTTGCACCCGCCCACGTCACACTCGCCACAAGGTCAGACAATCACCCCCCTTAGGGGCCCAACATCCCCGTTGGCCATATTTTCGGCTAGGTCAGGTTCTAATACCATTTGTAATGACTCACTATACCACATGGTATGATATTGTTCACTTTGGACCCAAGCCCGCATGATTTTGCTTTTAAATTTGACCCCAAAAGGCTTCATACCAATTGAATTGTGCAAATCTTACATATATAGCACTTCTCCTTTTCTCACCCAAGCAATGTGGGATTATGCACCTGTAACTCACCCAGTGTGGCAGTTTGCCAGTTTTTCTTGCACCCGTCCACAAGGTCGCCACAACAAACCTTCCCTCACTTAATGGTGAAGAGACTTTCAAAGGATAGGTATTAAGTTCCGAGTGTTACAATGATATCTCGTGAAAGATAGATTTAAGCATTTATACTCGCACACCTAGAGTTAATCCATGAAGTATTCCATTGAAAGGTCTTCTCTAGGATTTTTTTTCTTTCTTAATTGGTACTCACACACACATGTTTCTATCGAGACTCGAACTCTCGATCTCCCTTTGAAAAGTAGGATCCTGGTACCGCTAGGGCACTGGCCTGTTGGTAGTCTTCTCTAGGATTTTAACCACTATAAATGATAATCAATGGTTTAAGCTCAATAATGGGTGCTACCAATGAAGGATATTTATTGTTTAAGCTCAAAGGTATCTTTTACCAGCAAAGGATGATAAAATGCAAGAACAATTGTAGAAATATCTCCCTCTCCCTCTCCCTCTCCCTCTCCCTCTCCTTCTCCCTCTCCCTCTCCCTTGTAAATGATCACTACAAGGAGTATTTGTAATCCAATTTCGAAATATAGTTGTTACACACATTTGGCACATGTTGGGATTGCTGAACTAGCTATTAGATTTGAAATTTGTCAAAAACAATCACTAGTTTGGCTAGACCAGTCTGTTGATCCAAAATTACAAGTTGACTGATTGACCTATTGTCAAGCATTCCAACTTTCTGGTCAAAATCAGTTGATTGGTCTTTTTGGGATAAGCTTTGTCATTAGTTAACTGAACCAATTAAGTTTCAAAAAAGAGATGCCACTCGAGTGATGGAGTCAATTGGTGCTTATAGAGCGGCGACTTGAATTGGCTTGTTATAAAAATATTTTCCTTCTTTTGAGTTCAACATATGCTCAATTCCATTACACCTCTATTTAGAACTTTGAGGACATTTTGTTCAAGTTGTAATCCTTGGAGTCCAGGGACCATTACCATAGAATGAAAGGTCCTTAGACTTTACTAAATGTGAATATTGAGATTTTGAAAGATATTTCAATCTAGAAACCATCTCAATATCAACTGAGGCTTTTCAATATTGAAACAATTAGGTTCATGTGGTGACCTAG